ATAATAATAATAATAATTATTATTATTATTATTATTATTATTATTATTATTATTATTATTATTATTATTATTATTGTGTTCGAGACATTTCTTTTTTTCAATATCTGCAGATCTTCCCGCGAAGGATTTTCTTGACATTCTGCTGAAATCCCAAAAGGAAGATGAAGATGAAGGAAAAGAGGATGATGTTAAGAACAGGATAACTAATGTGAACATAAAGCAAATTATGTCTGATATATTCCTTGGTAAGTGTACTGTACATAGAATTTTCAATTTACAACGGATTTTTATTTCTACATAATAGACCTTTCAGAAGTGACAATAGTGACCAATCAGAGCAATGCCAGACCGGGCTCACGTGCTTGTCCCTCGTGTCCTAGTCCAACATGTAGTCCCACAAAACCATTGTTATTATTGTTATTATGACTATTATTTTTATTTTATTTTATTGTTATTTTATTGTTATTTGCATTTTCTCTGTTTGACCTATATTATTTCTTTGTAAAGCGCATAGGGGCAATGTGCAATATGCGCTATATAATTATAACATTATTATTATTATTATTATTAGGCCTATTAGGCCTATTATTATTATTATTATTATTATTATTATTATTATTATTATTATTATTATTATTATTATTATTATTATTATTATTATTATTGTTAAAACCACGTATTTCGTAGTTTCACCGCCATTTTGGGAACCTAAACGTGTCGCGTGTTTCCTAACGGAAAATTTGATCTACGCTTGTCTCCAAGCGTATAAGTAACAAAATATATTTATCATGTTTACATGTTTATCTTGTTTAGGCTTACATGAGTAGGTCTAGAAACTCTAGGCCTATTCTGTTATGCAATTTATATCGGAAGAATTTTTTTAATAGCCGGTGTTGATACCCAGACAACAACGTTATTGTGGGGCATTGCAATTTTAGTGGATAACCCAGATGTGCAAGAAAAAATCCAAAAAGAAATTGATGAAGCTTTAGGAGAAAGACCTCCAAAACTAAGTGACCGTGGAAAATTGCCGTACACTGAGGCTACCATCATGGAGTTATTTCGTTATAGGACTGTGTCACGACTTGCATTGGCCCACCTGGCATTAGTTGACACGACAATCGGTAAGATGAATAATGATATGAAAAGTAACGATTTTCATATATGAATAAAATTATGAGTACATTGGATTTTCACACCAACGTGTGGTGCAGCCTGAAGGGCGTTGAGCTTTCAATTAGGTCTGCTTGTGTTCCTTAGGCAGGACACTTGTCTGCATTTGACTCTATTTTCACCCAGAAGTGGTACCGGAAAGGGGTGAATGATCATGGGAATGAAATTAGCAGTGCTGATTACACGTTTAACTAGGGATACTCCCTGGGAAGCGGAGGCGGCTGCACGTTCTGTATGATAGATTTTGTATCTAGTACCAATTGAAAGAAGCGCCTTAAGCAGTTTGTTGGATATGTGTGCTACATAAATCCTATTATAACGTTTAAAAAAATAAATAAATAAATAAATAAATTATAATAATAATAATAAATTATAATAATAATAATAATTATAATATAATAATAATAAGACTCTGTTTATAATTTATAGGCCCATACAAGATACCTGCAGACACGATTGTGTTTTTAAATTTGTGGGCGCTTCATAATGATCCAAAATATTGGCCATCGCCAGAGAAATTTCAACCCGGTAAGTAGCATCTGGTAACTTTTCTATAATGAACTTTTAATTTCATTCCACAATTTAGCATAAAAAAATTATTATTTGTATAATTTTTTTCAGAAAGATTTTTGGATTCATCAAACACTGTTATACAGCGTCTACCGAGTTTCCTTCCGTTCTCCACTGGTCGCAGAGTGTGTGTTGGAGAATCATTGGCTAAAGCTAACATTTTTCTGACATTTGTATGGCTGATACAGAATTATATATTCAGCAAACCTGAAGGAGTCGAGGGTCCAGTAGCTGTGCACGATAAACCCGGAGTAGTGAACGTTCCTAAGCCATACAAGGTCCTTGCTAAGAGCAGGAACACAGTGTACCATACCTAATGATACGTACATGCTTAATCGAAATAATAACACATTCAAAATCACTGTTTTAGAAAACAGTTTACTTATATGTTTTCTTGTGTGTCTGGGCCTATCATACGGAGACGAAACAAACAAACAGCGCCACCACAGAAAGTCGGGGCTCAAAGTACTGTACGGAGATCGTCTCATCATTTCGAGATCTATTTTTTTTTTTTTTTTTTTTTTTGTTTCTTGCTCATTAGATGTTATTTTACTCTATTTTAAAAAGAAGACGTTTCGTAAAAGCTGAATTAGAGAAATTGCAATTCAAACTTGGTGAATTTTTACCCTGTTTGTACAGCATAGGCATTTAAACCTAGGATAAGTCTGTTTGTCATCCGGTCTAGGCTTAGAGAGCGACTGTCTGTCTGTGTGTTACCAGGGAACCGTTAAATCTCGCTGTTCCCTGGTGTTACCATACTATTACTGTTAATGGTTGTTTATCAACTGCCCTCTGCGGTAGATTTTTAAAGTATTGTATTTAGATTAAAATCAGAAAAACATGAATCTTTATCTTTTTTTTTTTGTTATCTTTACAAATTCTATAAATACATTCATCTTGACATGTAACTCAAAGATAAAAACGCCTATCTGGAATAAAAAAAGAAATGTGTTCGGGTCAAATCAAAATCTTATCACAGTTAGTTGTAAAAGTCTCATTCATTTTCCAATGGATATTTACATTGATGACGATTAGCGACTATAAAATACCCATTGAAATAACAAGTACGGTAGCACAATAATTAGATATTATTTGATTCATCAATCATTCGCATTTTCAATACTATCGAAATATATTATTTCATCGCACGAATATCGGATGATATCTACCATTTTAATCCGAAAATAAGCAAATGGCATAAATAGCCGGCTACGAGTTTTGTTTTGTTTTGTTTT